AGAGATTAAAAGAAATGTTAACATCTCGCAGTATGTGTCTTCTTTCGGTTCTAACGAATTGGATAAAGGGGACCCAATGTTTCAAGATTTGTATAAGCCAAAATATATTAATGAAAAGCTATTTTAAATGATAGTCTTTCAAACATTACTATGATGCTTTGCTCTCAACTAATACTCGTGGTCAAGTGTGAATGAGACGGTTGTTTCTGATATGCTTTCTGTTTATTCTCTCCCAGCTGAATGCCACTGATCTTGCTGCGGTGACGTGATGCTAATCGATTTCTGCTTGTCTATCATGCGAGCGGATCGTTCAGAATGATTCAGAGATCAGTTGTCATTGCTAATTCCAATCCCAAGTAAACAATCTCAAATGCCCTCGATCTTTACCCCATTACCCATTTGTGCGTGTTCCTTCGGATTCTGTGACCATGAATAAGAGTAATCTACAACAAAAGAGTTCATGTAGACAAGTGGGTATAGCTTTCTGTCTGTTTTTCTGTTTCTCTGTCTGATCAATAATGCGCTCTACAACACTATGATGACGGTTCAAGGAAGTGCAACAAAAAATGCACTGTTTCTGTACCAAAATAGGTAAATAAAAACACGATTTTTATCTCCCTATGAGAAATTTCGTCTCACCCACACTTAGAGGTGTTATTTTCAGTGAACACAATTCAAAATAGTAGATTTATGGAATTCTCTTATCGCGAAATTTGACACTCACTGTATTGATTTTCATACTTCTTCGTCGTACGACATCCACTGTAGTGGATAGTTTTTTTAATTATCTTTTCGGGGTTGATTTCGCATGACAAGACTAGTGAAAATGGACCTTACTGTATCGGCTGCAGACACGGTAAAAGAACTCCACGAACTTTTCAGTTGAATAAAACTTCCCCATGTAGGATTTAAACCGGAGAACCGACTTGAAAACAGTGCGAATGGTATAACTCTTTCCATTTGCAGCACTCAAAAAAGATTTCATTTTACAGTCAATTTAAATCATAATCGGCTGTCTCAACAACTGTCTTATTCCGTGAGCTAAATCAACGGTATGAGAGTAATATAGCGGCTGATGAGACCCAACCACGTCGAAACAGCTGTCCAGCACTTTTCAACTTTTCAGCTCATGCCCCATTCACACGATGAATTCATCATTGAAATGAATTGTGTTGCTTTATTTTCTTCAGCACTTGACTACTGATCTCCCACTTTAACCGACTTGTATTTTTTATCTCAGTATCTTGTGTTGTGGAGCTGACCGAAGAGCTATCCCGATTTTGCTTAAATGTTCAGAATAGGTGGTCTGGACTACTGTACCGCCTTCGCCTCAACCAAGAAGACGCATCGGTAGGCTCGGCTGGTGAGTGTATGCGCTATGCCAACCTTGATCAATGGTTTTCAGTGAATTCCCTTTCGCCTGTTCTTGGAGCTTGCCAAGCTCAGAGAACATGCGAAATAGAATTCAGTTCACTCGAGCTACCGGAAACGATTCTCAATACTTTGTCATTAGTTTCCATTGAATGAAGCGATGGGGCTTGATGACTGGATCATTGATTCAAGCCAATATCGATTTCCGATACGCGTATGGTTGATAGAAGTTAGTAAGCAAGTTAATGGGGTGCGTACTAAGATCCAATGTTCCGATGTGGATCGATCTGCGCACGGCGATGCTGAACCTCGTTGACGAAATCATCTCTTAGGAGATCCTGTGCATGAGAAACTTGGGCTCACAAACCATGTCAGAGAATGAAGGCAAACAAAAGAAAATTAAGCTCACTTTTGAAATCTTCCAAATGATATCGAGCCGCACGTACATGTTCCCGTTCCGCGGCCACAGCCGATTCCAGATCAGCAAAATGTGCCCGTGTGAGAAGCGACTCGGTTTCGGATATCGGCTGATCTAACAGACTGACGGCTACTTGTGTATCCAGTGCGGCAAGAATGTATCGTCGTTGAGATATTTCTTCACTGAGATCCTTGAAAGGTGGTTGAAGGGTGTGAGGGTGTGTTAAGGTAGTTAGACGAAAACGTATCTCGAAGCAATCCAGAAATGGCTTATGCAAACAAAGAAGTTTGAACAATAACCGCGTAAAAAAAACAAAATAAAAATCATTTATCGTGATTTTAGTTGTAGCCAGAACAAATATAGAAGAGCTGTCGCAACCTACTGGATGTCCATTGTGATAAGATTCGGACCGGTTACTACTGAGTCAAGTACGTGATGACAAGTAGCAGAAGGATTGAGGTTGGAAGAGCACACCGAATAGTGTATGGACAAACTGAAATAGTTTGATCAACTACCTAATGAACAGACCACCGCATTGACTCAACAAGATCAGATTTAGACTTACTTTGTTCTGCTGTTCACGCCAAAAATCATTGCGCAATCAAATCACCATTTCCATCAATTGTGCTCAAGAGAGGGACTAAGGGAAAGTATTAATCGGTATTCCGCTTAATTTGGAAAGACTGTATATGACACGTTCGTTTTACTAGTGAGAAATTATCAGCATTTCATCGAGGTTTGAGGTACGAAAATTTACCCATTCCCCGTGCTAGTGAGTCTAGGACATATGGTCTGTCCTTCAGTGACTGAATACACGAGGACATAGCATGAAATACGACCAGTTTCTCGCCCCCCCCCTCCATGAATTGCCATAGAACATATCGTCCGAAAACGGAATGTCATATTGGAATTTAACTTGCCGGGCAGGTCATGAGTTGCAGATAAACAGTGTTTGTCTCTTGGACCAAGATTATGAGGCGTGGTCAACGCATCGATAGTGACAGGAGTAGTTATGAGCGAATGCCACGCAAGCATCGAGGTGTCTTGTCTCCAATTGGTACTCTACTCAGCATAGTTATGGCTCAAGTTTGCTGATTTCGGTACTGAAAATCCGTATGTGAAACTCAAATTGAACTGTGTTAAAGAAGCAATATCTTCGATCAGTTAACTAACTGAATTCTGTTAAGAGGAACGCAAACATACGCAACGCAGATTGTCAGCACATATCCTGTTTACCTTCATTCGAAATGTGTTGTTGAACATTACGAATCCATTTGGGACCCAGTTACTCAAAAAGTATTTAAAAGTAAAACGCAGTTGATAAGCATCCCTTATCTTTTTGCTTAAAGTATCCGTTTTTTTGTCTGTGTACATGTATGACTGAAATCATGAAATAGATGAACACTCACGTACTTGAATGGTTTGTTCCAAGCGTTTTAAATCCGCATTGGTGGCAATCACATCAAATTCACCCAATTTGCGTTTCGCCTCAGACATCCACGACTCCAACTGATTCAAATCAACACGCAAAACTGGAGGTTCATTGCCCACCGAACCACGTAAACCCTGTTTGCCATGCCCTTTCGCAGCTGCCATCAATCCGGTCGGGGTGCCGTCTGCATTCACCGCTGTTGCTCGACCCGCGGCATTGCTGCTGCTGCTCACAGCCGCAGGCATATCGGGTAGACTGGTCGATTGCGGGGTACGAATATCCGCACTGGATCCACGTTGACTGCCATCCACATTCGAATCTGCTGAGCCCTGAGCGGCAGTTTTCTCTGCAAGCCACTGTTCCAGCTGATCCCGATTCGCTTTGGTCAATTCTCGTACTTGGGACCAATTAACGCGTAGTCCATCCAGCCTTTCTGTGAGAACCTGCATATTTTGCGTGCCAGGTGGAAAATAAACAGACCAGACATTAATACTGAACGGGGGAGATTGAGAATCAGACAACTTCGGTAGATATAAAGGCGATCTGTGATGTGTGCGTATTGGCGGAACTCAAAGAGAGAATGTTTGCATCAGACCTTCAGGGGATGCGCATACATGTATTAATCTCAAACTAGGATATTGCTTGGATTATCTTTCACAAAACTATGAGAGTTTGTAGATTTTGCTTCAGTGGCTCGAATATCCGCCAACACCCTCTCCCCCCCCCC